TGAGTAGTTCGAGTGCCAATTAATTATGTATTCCAAAATCTATATTGCCACGAGTTTTGATAGTACGTCCTCTGGTTTGTAATTCTACTACCACGTCCTGCAACTTCCAACACTGTAATAATATGATATAATAGCGGTTTCAGCGTTTATTAGGCCGTAGGCCTGTCGCCGATCCTTAACATCACTGAACATTCACAGCATTTTGCGGTCTCGAACTCGCAACTTACTGCTACAATAATTCTGCTGTGCTTAACCGCCCGGCCTCCTCGCCGATTCTGACCAGAAACTGGCGCACAGACCTAGGATCGAACCCGCGCCTCTATGCGCCAATCATGATACTCTGAACTTTAACCACTGGGCCACCCTGTCTCAGTTGGCTCCATCGTCTCAGTTACCATAGGACGGAGCTGGGGACATTACCATCATTATATATTTGGACAAGTTATGCAGTAAAAATCTCTTTCTCCTCACGAGACCTACTCGGCAGGAGGAGGCAGCGGCGGCCGCCGGAGAGCCGGCACGACCAAGTCCCCTGCGCTCGGCCGGCGCTGAACATCCCTGCGTGTTGTGGTAGCGGTGCTCATCTTTGCTTTAGTTCTGACGGTAGTTAAGTAACAAAATCTTCACCATTATCACGAAGCTGTAATTTATATAATAGATATTAATCCGAATGAAAAAATATTTAATAATTATGGATTTGATAATTGTACCTAAATAGGGGATATGTTCCTGTTGACGATAAATTACAGTCTAAACGTCCACATAACTGTTAGGTATTTCCAAATCTCAGCCTGAGACTATCATCTTCCATCATTTTATTCGTTAAATTTTATACATATGGAATAAATTAGCATACTTTATTTTTTCTTCCCCATCGAACCAGTAAAATCACCATTGTAAATACTCATTCTATTTTAAAATTCTTTTTATACGTCTGTGGGTCGTCTAAATATTTGCATGCAACTCTTGACATACCGAAAAAGATTCTCTTTATTAAAACTGCATCTAAGATAGCCTCTTCGGTAAAAAGTTCAACTCGTACATCAAAGTTGACTATTGAAACACGCAAGCAAGTGGCCGTATCAATTCAAATCAATTTAACTGGCCTAACTTAAAATTTGAAACGATTAAACCAGCTGAAGCACTTCAGTTACAATTTATGTACCAAATAAAAGTTGGACACTTGCTGCGATTGTTGCTAATTGTTTCTTCGTTCCTTAATTAAGTTAATCGTCAGTTGCTTCACACTAGGTGGCGTTTCACGCTGGCTGTTGTCTCACGCTAGTTGACTCATATCACCTACTGCATTATCTGCGAAAATATCTTAAAAACGTATCTCCTTTCATTCTAGCTTCACGTTATTTTCAGATAGCTGACAATTTGTCACAATTATAGTTTCAGTAGCTGTCAATTTGAAGGATTTATTCAGGACGTAGATGCTTTTCAAGTGCATCATTAGATGCGGAAAAAAAGTTTCCTTCAATGATAAAATCAATAATAATTGAAGATAAGTTCAAAAAGCTTGTAATGTTTTTATATTACTTGTTTGGCAAAAAAGATGAAAGTATGATATTGTTTTTTGAATTGAATGCATCGGAAAAACGGAAATAACACAGTTTATGCTTCAATAAAAATATAGAAAAATGACTGATGTAGAAAATGAGTTTATGGTAAACTCATAATTTTTGAGAATCAAACACTGACTGTAGGCAAAATATCCAGGAATGTTCTTTTCACCCTCATAGCATTACTTATAAATTTAATACCGTATTTAATTAGCTAAGCAAATGAATGAATGATAAAGAGAAATTATCACAACATCCCGCAGAAGCCGGATGCGTTGCTATGGCGACGCATCGTACCCAAGTAATCAAACCTATTCCAGCAGGCAGCTGCCGCCTGCTTCCTGTCAAGTTCAGCGTTTGATTAAATATCTTATACCACTTTGTGGTTGCCTGTATCTTACTTAACGTAACAAAATCTCTTCAAACTTTAGATTTGTCAAAAGTTACAATCTTACTGTAAATTATTGAACAAAGAATACATATTTAAATTGGAGGGAATTCATCACATGCAATGATTGCTGAAAACCTTTGGCTTTTGCCTATCTGCCCATGAACATGAAAACCTATGAATCAAGCCAGTAACTACTGTCAAAAAATGCTTTTTTAGGCTAAATTCGCTGCTATGTTTACTGCGTCACCAGATTCACTGTGCCACTGCACTGTAGAGTAGAAGAATTCACTCGTCACTGCACTGCAATGGAACGTACTGCGTCACTGCGCAGTGACGCTGCCGTACTGCGCCGTCCTACTTGACTGACTGCGTACGTGTCAAGCTATCCTAACTTCCTGCATCACAGCACAGTTCCTGATCTCACTGCGTTAATTCACTGCCCTGCCGATATACTGCGTCGCACCACAGCACTACTCACATACTGCGTCGCACCACAGCACTACTCACATACTGCGTCGCACCACAGCACTACTCACACACTGCATCACAGCACTGCTTCTGCCTTACTGCGTTCCTCCTAGGCTCTACTGACTGACTGTGCTTTTTAGCGCATTTTCTCACTTATGGAAAACATGCCCTATTGTGCTCGTCATGTCCGTCCGTCTGCCTGTCCGTCTATCTGTCCGTCCGTGACTTCGCGTTTTCGTAGACGAGAAAATGCGCTCTCTGTCACTCACTGCAGTGAGTACTGAGTTTTATTTTTTATGACTTCTCACTGAATAGCTACTGACTCACTGACTGCGTTAATGTAACGGAGACTTGTGCAGTAGTGAATTGTTGAAAATACTGCGAATATTTCTTAACGGCATAAAACGGACACCTAATTCTTATTTCAATGCGGGAATTAAAAAATACCGTACTAAAACACATGCAATGGGCAGATTTCTCTCTCCTGAAAAATTCAATTTCATGAGTTGCCTTCGTTGTCTGAAATTTATATTAATTAATGATCACATATTATAAGACACTCAGATGAACAGCAACTCTTAATTCAACTATACTATGAATTTAAGATCAATGATAACCCTGCGTAAAATTCGCCATATCTTAATATACAACACTTATAAGTCCAGCTCCATCGTCAGATCGAACATACCAATCATATTAGAAAACTACAAATTAAGTACCTCGACTGAAATTTGCGTTAGAATTATGATTAAAAAATTTATCGAATACAACGCTTTTATATTTAATTTTAATAATTTTTTAACAATTTTTCTTTAAAATTTTAATTTTAAGATTTAATTTCCATCGTAAATTGTAAAATGATGTTTATCTACTTGTGATATGTTGCTGTTGCCTTGACTTGAGTTCTTTAATTAAAGTTTTAATATTATACCCAAGTAAAACCTTATTAAACACTATACCTATAATATTATTTAAATTTAGATTTAAATATCTGCTCTGTGGATTTTATGAGGCTATTTAATTGTATTAAAATTCGAGTATTTTCGAACAGACATCGAAACGTTTTCTAGGAAAAATTTGGCATAGTTTTTATTATTTTAGATTTATTCAAGAAATTAGATTATGTTTTGAAAATATTTGTGGTAATATCACCGCTAAAATTCGGGTATATTAATTACTTGTAAGACTATATGATTTCTACGGGAACAATATAGCAAAATATGTGATATATTTAATATCATCCATGTAAAAAACAGTAGAAAATTGATCGTTCTTATTAAGAAATTCACTGCCCTTTACCCATTCACTTCTGAATAAGAAAATTTTTCCTCTCGCTCGGTTATTGTACTCGTGCGTAAAGAAAATCGCTGTGAATATTAATGAATATTTATTTCCATGCCCCATATCAGGAAAATAGTTTGACCTATAGGAAAATAGAAGCAAATGCGAAAGTTCACTCTTTTTAATTATCGTATATGTAATAATCAGTGTCTTTTATCATGATATTTAACATAAATTAATATTTTTCATCGCTTGATGGATCATCTGTTGGTTCTTATTATTTACTTTTGTATTACTCTTTCATGGATGCCGGTAAAGTCATCCTGCACTAACAATTCACTTTTTATTTTAATTCCATAAACTAATTCTTCGTTTGATCACAACTTCTCAAGTTTTATGCTACCGCCAAATTAAATATGAACCGTGAATGCCGTTTCCAATAGCCAACCCACTACGATTAACTGGTTGAAAATTCTTATTCTAGGATTTTTCTAAATAAAGAGCAATTATTCAAACAAATAGCATTTTTATTTTTAACAAGATAGCGTTTACCGGTTTGAAAATCTTAACTGGAAACTTAATTTCATGATTGAAGCTTGAAGTAAATTGCAAGCTGTGTTAGCTGTAAGAAAAATAAATTGTAAGCTGTAGAATAATTAACTGTAAGCTGTAAGAAAAATCAACTGTAAGCTGTAAGAAAAATTAACTGTAAGCTATAAGAAATGTTGACTGTAAGCTATAAGAAATGTTAACTGTAAGCTGTAAGAAATGTTAACGATAGCTGGTCAGGTGTTTATCAGTTCAGATTAGATAGGAACCTCGTATCTACACCTCAGCTCGGTCCGCATCTCGGAGAACAGTTGAGTCTGAGGTAACATCCTCGTAGTGAGTGAAATTTCATACTACAATCTCGAGATTGTGTCGAAATATTCAATTATTGCACGGTTGATACAATATATTTAAATAACATCTCCGACTTGCGTTTGTCAAGTGTAGAATAACAAACGTCAAAAGTTGTTAATTGCAAATTTGGCATCAATGAAGAAACTGGGTCAAAAAATATGCTCTTGGTGTGAATAGTTTCTTCTTTGTCTATAGCAAAAAATATACACGTCTCAGGACTCGAGAAAATTATGATATTTTGATAAGCAGTGGTAACTACATATGCATTAATATCTGTTCCAATTTATGAAACCAGACCCACGTTAAGAAAACAAGACAATGTCACATCATTTTAATTTAGACCCAACCAGTGAAATGCAGTTCAACAGCCTTTCGGACGTGGGCCAGATGGACAATCCCAGAAGTGGACATCGTTCGTCTCAATCCTCATCCACTCCGTCGTCCACACCGAAAGGATCTGTTTCCGGGGCGCATAATGAAGGATCCCAAAGTGCAGAACTGAAATATTATCCTTCGTCAGGAATGTTTGAACCCGCCGATGGCAGAACCGCTACCAACCAGCAGTCCAAGACAAAGAAATCCAACAAAAAGGCGGGATTCTCTTCGATGCCAACCTCCATAAACCGGCCAAGAGGTAGCGTCTTCAAACGCGCCATCTTTTCTGTTGGCATCCCAACCAGAGGTGCGTCCCCATGAATATATACAGTTGGATATATAGTTAGATATACAGTTAGATATACGGTTGTATAATTGTATATCCAACTGTATATAACTGTATTTACAATTGGATATAAGTTAGAGATACAGTTGGATGTATAGTTGGATACACAGTTAGATATCCAGTTGGATACACAGCTAAATATACAGTTGAATAAAGAGTTAGAAATAGAGTTATATATACTGTTGGATGTATAGATGGGTATACGTTTGGATATACAGTTAGATTTAAAGTTGGCTATACAGTTAGATATACAGTTCGATATACATTTGGATATACAGTAAAATATACAGTTTAATGTGAAGTTGTATATACAATTAGATATACAAATGGATAAATATTAGTAGATAAAGCCACAGGTGGATATAGAGCATGTATCCATCAGCAGCAATTCAATTTTTTGGGTTAAATGATCATGATTATTATACATAGAAGTCAAAACATTTGTGATGCAGTGGTTAACAAGTCAGGCGGCAGAATTTTATCAGGAGGGTATTCAAAAACTGGTGCCACGTTATGACAAGTGTCTCAATATTCACAGAAATTATGTAGAAAAGTAGATTAAGGAACAGGCTTTCATGTAAAAATAAAATTATTGCAATATTTTGGCACGTCTTATTTTTATTCCAAAACGGTACTGACTTAAAAAAACATGCCTCGTATAGTTGGATATGCAGTTGGATGTATAGTTGGATATACAGTTAAATAAACAGTTGGATGTATCTTTGGATGTCTAGTTGGATTTATAGGTGGATGCATCTGTGGATGTATAGTTGGATGTATAGTTGGATGTATAGTTGGATGTATAGTTGGATGTATAGTTGGATGTATAGTTGGATGAATAGTTGGATGTATAGTTGGATATACAGTTAAATAAACAGTTGGATTTATAGTTGGATGCATAGGTGGATGTATAGTTGGATGTATAGTTGGATGTATATATAGATTGGATATATAGCTAAATATACAGTTGCTTATACAGCTGAATTTACAGTNCACAGGTGGATATAGAGCATGTATCCATCAGCAGCAATTCAATTTTTTGGGTTAAATGATCATGATTATTATACATGTATTTCTTATTTAAACATCGTCAATGATTATCCTAAATAACTGCATTATCTTATAATCGTTGATAAAATAAGGTCCAGGTCATGTTACTGTGCACTTGGAAATTCATCATTTATATTTATTAGAGGGCAGTGAATGTTTTCAAGGAAATATACTATCTTGATCAACACCTTCCTCCCAACTCTGCATCATTTAGAGATAAATACAAGTAATTCAGAGTAATCTATTAAACATAGAGAATCAGAGTCGTCAAATCAACGGTGGTAGCCACAAATGCATTATTTCCTGTCAAGTTACGAATTCTCGCATTTGACCTTCGCAATACCTCACCGACGAAATCATACGTAACTTTTTAACGATCAAAAATTTTCTGTGATCCTCCTTTCGCAGCGTCGTATCCTTTTTGTTTGATTCGAATTGCATGGCGATCAGCAAAAACCCGTGTCAAATAAAAACAGACACCCGTAGATGATAAATGTCAATGATAAATGTAAAATAAATGACGAAATACCTCTAAATTTAATTAGGAGGATACAACCGACCTAATTTATACAAATTAATCGGGAAGACAGTGTTTTAATAAATAAGGTACCGTAAAATGGGGTAACTTAGACCGGCGGGGTAACTTAGACCACTTTTCGTTTTTTTAAAAATATAAGTCATTCAATAAATAAATATAAGTCATTTTGATCAACATGGTTAATCAGAGTAGTCAAATCAACGTTGGTAGCCACAAATGCATTATTTCCTGTCAAGTTACGAATTCTCGCATTTGACCTTCGCAATTCCTCACCGACGAAATTATACGTAACTTTTTTTAACGATCCAAAATATTCAGTGATTTTCCTTTCGCATCATCGTATCCCTTTTGTTTTGATTCGAATTGGTGATTAGCATCGAGCCGAGTCAGATAAAAACAGACGCCCATAGACGATAAATGTCAATGAAAAATGTAAATAAATGACGATAGATGACGAAACCTCTAAATTTAATTAAGAGGATACAACGGACCTAATTAATACAAATTAATCGGGAAGATACTGTTTTAATAATTAAGGTATCTGTAGTGTTAACTATAACATGAAGTGTGGATTGAAGTGATTAGTAAGAGCGTCAAACACAGGACCAGCTCTTTTTCCATTTTTTACGGATTTCGACAGAAGCATTGATAAAGTTGAAGGCTTCTTATCGTATAGGATTTAAACCAAAGTTCCATGGACCTTCCGAACCAAGAGAAACTCATTAAAAATTGTCAACACCACTGTAATTTATAATCAAATATATATAATCATTCGATAAGATCGAATCATTCGACGACCTCGCTTTTACTTTCCCCGCCAAATCGTCACCGCAGAGAGTCGACTCATCACCGCGGCAGAAGCAGGCGACGTCGAGAGCGTGTCCGGCTTCCTGGCCGCAGGGGCGGACGTGAACTGGCGCAACGAACATGGCGAGACCGCCCTTATATACGCAGCCTGGCGGGGACATGAGGCGGTAGTGGCCACCCTCCTGCATCATCCCGCCACTCACGTCAACCTTCAGGTGAAGTGACTTACTTGACAACCAGACTCCCTGCTGCAACACCCCGCCACTCACGTCAACCTATATACAGGTTTGGCTGACTTAACTGCCAACGTATACTTTAGAATGACTTCAGTAATGACTGTCAACCTGCAGGTGAAAGTCACAAGAATTAAGACAGTCAACCTGCAACATAGAACGATTCGTATTGTGAAAGTCAGCATGCAGTGACCCAAGACTTATGTCACGGATGCTGCAAAAGCTCTAAGTGTGATAAAAAAACTTGACTTATACCTTGGTTTTTACTCTTCATGTGTAAAAATCAATAAAATTAGTGTTCAATACGGCAATCATTGCTAACGTTAATTTTGTCTTCTACAGGATAACGCGGGCTGGACTGCGTTGATGTGGGCTTCGAAGGCAGGACACGAGGGCATTGTCAGGCTTTTTCTGGTCCATCCCGACTCTGAACCTGACCTGACCAACAAGCTAGGAGAAACAGCCCTCATGAAGGCCGCAGTCCACGGCCAGACGCGGGTGGTGAAGCTGCTAGCATCTTCCTACCGTACAACGATCGACAAAAGACATGTAGACGGATCCACCGCGCTACTGTGGGCGGCAGCGGGAGGGTCCATCCAATGTGTCAGCATCTTGCTGGATGCCAATGCTGACATCGATACTTGTGATGCTGACGGCATGGATTCCCTGATGTGGGCTGTCAGCGTCGGTCATGCTGATGTTGTGGAGCTCCTTATTCAAAGAGGATGCAATTTGACCAAGAAAGACAAGGTTGGGCGCACCCCTCTTCTTATGGCAGCAGAAGTTGGTCACGCAGAGGTGGCTAGTCTCCTCCTCAACCACGACGACACCGATGTTAATTGCTCGACGAAAGATAATATATCTGCCTTGATGAGAGCAGCCTATCGAGGGCATTCTCCATTAGTAAATATGCTCATTAAATGCAAAGACATTAACATAAACCAGCAAGACCTGCAAGGGAAAACGGCTCTCATTCATGCTGCCCGATCGGGACAAGCATTGTGTGTGTCGATTTTGCTACAACACGCGACAATTGATTGTAACATTCGCGATAACGATGGATACACAGCTTTGGCAATGTCGGCTAAGTTCGGTCATGATCAAACACTGGATGCTCTTCTTAAGCACAAAGATATTAATGTTCAACTACAGACGAAACAAGGTCTTACAGCTTTGAGCCTAGCTGCTAAGTCAGGGCACAAATCGAGCGTGAAAACCTTATTAGCTCACCCTGATGTTCAGATTAACGACAAAGACGGCCAACATATGACTGCACTGGCTTGGGCGGCCAAAGAAGGCTCGGTTTTGGTAGTTGAACTTCTACAGCAATATCAGACTCTGGAGCCAAACATGGCAGATAATGAGGGCTTGACGGCTCTAATGTGGGCTGCCCGACGAAACGAGCTGATGGTTGTGCAGACACTTCTGCGAGATCCGAGAGTCGATCCTGTTGCTGAAGATCTCTCTGGAAAAACGGCCTTAGACTATGCCACGGATAATAAGTTTATGGAAGTCGTCCATTTTTTGAGAAGATATCAAGATGCATCAGCAAATTGGGGGTCAAAGAATAATGTTTTCGATCTAGGCAGAAGTGATTCCGGCAGTGATGTAGACGATGACTTCCAGCCGGCCTCCGTTATTGCAGCCGGGTTCAATAAAACTTACGATGATGCAAATTTGGATACGATTAGTGATGTAGACAAGTACTTAGAAAATGGGCCCTTCGTAAATTGGCGCCCCAAGAGTGGAAAAACATCATTTTCATGGGCTGTGGCTTGTGGACAAACTGAAGTTGTCAAAATTTTTCTTTTGGTTCCAAACTTAGATGTTAATGAAGCTGATTATGATGGGCTCACTCCCTTGATGATTGCGGCAAGCAACGGTCATTTCGAAGTTGTAGGCTTGCTGCTCTCGCACGAAGCAACTGACGTGAATCGAGGCAACAGAAGGAAGCAGACAGCACTGATGCTGGCAACAATAAACGGTCATCTGAGATCCCTGGCGGTACTCCTAGGATGTCCCCACCTCGATGTCAACCAGCAGGATGACAGGGGATACACTGCACTCATCTACGCAGCTGAGATAGGCAGCTATGAGATAACGAGAGAGCTCCTCCGACATTCCTTCATCAAGACTAACATCAAGGCTGAGGATGGAGGAACAGCACTTATTTTTGCAGTAAAAGGTGGGAATGATGACGTGGCTGAACTCCTGTTGGAGCGAGCTGATTGCGAAGTGAACGCAATTGACTGTAGAGGAGAGTCTGCACTTCTGCTGGCTGCTGGCCACCAAGGAAGTATGAAAATCACCAAAAAGCTCTTGGAGCATCCGGCAATCAATATTAACCTACGATCACCAGCAGGACAGGCAGCTCTTCTCCTTTCTGCAAGAAACGACCACATGGAGTGCCTCAGACTGCTTTTGGAACAGCAAAATATCAACGTTAACTTACAGGATGTTGGAGGCATGACTGCCCTGATGTTTGCTGCTGAACTTGGTCATGAGGACATGGTGAGAATTTTGTTTTCTCATCCTGCAACAGATCCAAATTTGCGGTGTAAAGAGAATGGCAGCACAGCATTGATCCTAGCCGCGAGGAATTGTCACACAAACATAATCGAAATTCTCACTGCGAGACGCAACGTTAACGTCAACCTCGTGGATGATTTTGGTGCCAGTGCTCTCAACCATTGTGTTCGTAGGAATTCCCAAGACATTCTCTGTATTCTGCTGGAGCGACCCGACATCGATGTCAACATTGCTGACGCCGAAGGCAAAACTCCGCTGTTAAGAGCCTGTGCTGACGGCCATTTCGACCTCGCCATGATCCTGCTTGCCCGAAATGACGTCGATGTTAACCATCAAACTCTGGAGGGCAAGACAGCTCTGATGTATGCTGCTCAGACGCCTGACGGTCTCGCTGCTCTCAGGCTCATGCTCGCTATAAAAACCGTTGAGGTAAAGTCTTGATTTTTTAAAATTATTTTTGTGCGCGGGCGGTTGAATGAATGGATATATGTATACCTTATTGGACAGTAAGAATCTCATGACACAGTTTAAGAAACTTCTGCTGCTGAAATTTTATCCGTTCCAAACCGATCACTATAAAATTATGAAATAATTACAGCGGCCGAATATGTATGAAATGTTTAACCTGGATTAACATATTTAAATTTACTGCATTCCAATTGCATTGCGGAATATTACTTAGAAAAAACAGCTAGTCAATCTAAAACTACTTACCCTTACGAAATAATCTTTTTTAATGGCTTCTAATGGGAGAAGTGTTGTCATAATTTTGCAAAAGACAGTCGATCAATTTTTTTTACCTATTTGTTGACTTTACTTGTGAAAAAACTTATTCCTACAGCCTCTTCATTTTGTTCTGAGCCATGATTTATTTCATCAGGTAAACTTAGTGGATGAACGTGGTTCTACAGCCCTGATGCACGCCTGCAAGAACGGCAACGTTGATGCCGTCGCGGCCATCTTGGAAACTTGTTCGGTGAACCCAGTGACCCCTTATAGGTGAGTGTTCTGGGGCCGAATTATCAAAACTTCGTATCTTTTAATACGTACGTACAAGAAGATACGTGTTACGTAAGTACGTCCCAATTTTGGCATTATCTACGCAAGACTCATCGGGAGAATAGGTGATAGAATACGGAAAGAACCCTCTCGACATAGTGACCCCTAGCTGGTAGGTGAGAGTTCTGGGGCCGAATTATCAAAACTTCGTATCTTTTAATACGTACGTACAAGAAGATACGTGTTACGTAAGTACGTCCTAATTTTGGCATTATCAAAACTATTCTACGCAAGACTCATCAGGAGAATAGGTGATAGAATACGGAAAGAACCTTCTCGACCCAGTGACCCCTGATAGGCGAGTGCTAAAAACAATTAAAATGCCTTAACTAATACAAATATAATCTGTGACCATCACAATAAAATTAAGAAATTTCATATGTACGATAAAAATCAGGATTTAATCCATAATTGAGTAAATTTTTGAGACAGTAACGGTTAAGTGGGAAGATATTGGAATATTACGAAAAACTTTCGCATTTTATTCCCTCCTTGTTTTTATTGTTGAGTTTGCATTGCAGCGCAGGAACAAGTTTAGAAGACACATTAGGACATCCCTTAAACTATTTTATTGAACACTTGTCAGTTAGGAATTAATTTAAAAAAAAGCATGTTGATAAAAAAAATCGATTCAGATACGGCTAGGTCAACATTTTCTCGTGAGTGTGAATCACCGTGGACGCGTTTAGAGATAAGAGGCAGTTGATAACACAGCGTGACACAATACAAATAGTATTTGTTTTTTATGTGCAATGCTATGTTTTATTATAAAAAACTCATTAGGTAGTCTTTGCTCTGTATCTTCGAAAGAAATCATACATGATGTCTTGCTTTGTGTCTGCATCATACATCATACATGTTGGATGCTTTCATATTGAATTTTGTTTTAATTGCTCGATATTAACGATAGAGAATTACGAATTATAGCGAATGATACTGACTACCACATCATTAATTAATTATTTTATTACAGGGATGATTTGCTGCTCAACATCGCTGATAATCAAGGCTACACCCCGCTGATGTGGGCCACACTGCTGGCCTTCTGCGACATCGTCAGGCTCCTGCTGCAGGTGTTATATAATATAATATAATATAATATAATATAATATAATATAATATAATATAACATAATATTAGAATAGAATTGTCGGCACTGAATAAATAGGCCCATAACCTGTTATATACAATATATTTTAATATAATACAATATAATATATTTAATATAACACAGTATAATGTAATATATATACCCAAGCCTCAACCCGCAGGCCCGCGGCCTGGAGCCGAACTCCCTGACCCCGGACGGGCTCAGTGCCCTGGGGCTCGCCTGCGAGTGCGGTCACGTCGCTGTGGTGCAGGCGCTCACGTCGCACCCCGCGGTTGACGTGAACGCCGGCCGACGTGCTGGACGAGGAACACCCATCGTCGCCGCTCTGGAGGTTGGTTCCTTTATTTAATTAAACTTTTTTATTTAAATAAACTTATTTATTTAAATGTACTTTTTTATTTAAATAAAAAATAACTTTTTCGGAGATATTTTTTCAATGAATAATATAACAAAAATTTTAGTGACCTCTTTCCTTCATCAATCTCAAATTATGATTTTCGATGACAGGTTTTTAATTGTTTAGCAAGTAATATCAATAATAAGCAAATTCATGTCCTATATCCACAATTCCATTAGACTTTTTCGATGACAGTTTTCCAATTTATCAATACGAGATCACAATAACAAATATTTTATTTGTCTGTTTCTCTCATCAAACTCAGATTAGGGTTTTCGATTACTGTTTTTCAGTTTATTGCACAGCTGTAGTGAAACAAAAATACTCTATTCGTTGATAAACGTCCCTGGTTGATGACGTGGTTGACTCATTGTTTGAAGACATGGTTGATGTTATGGTTGGCCCCTGGTTGATGACGTGGTTGACTCATTGTTTGATGACGTCGTTGATGTTTTGGTTGACCCCTGGTTGATGCCGGGGTTTACGTCATGGTTAATGACATGGTTGATCTAATGGTTGACCCCTGGTTGTAACCCTGGTTGTAATGGTTGCAGCGCTACCAGCACGAGTGCGTGTGCGTGTTGCTGCTGCACCCCAGCCTGTCCCTGGGGCTGTCCGGGGTGCGGGTGCCCTTCCTTCCCCCCGCCCTCAAGGCCTCGGTCGACCTCTGCAACCAGCCTTCCCAGGTACAATCAGCCCTCCCAGGTACAACCAGCCTTCCCAGGTACAACCAGCCTTCCAAGGTGCAACCAGCCTTCCCAGGTACAACCAGCCTTCCCAGGTACAACCAGCCTTCCCAGGTACAACCAGCCTTCCCAGGTACAACCAGCCTTCCCAACCAGGTACAACCAACCTTCCCAGGTACAACCAGCCTTCCCAGGTACAACCAGCCTTCCCAGGTACAACCAGCCTTCCCAGGTACAACCAGCCTTCTCAAGTACAACCAGCCTTCCCAGGTACAACCAGCCTTCACAGGTACAACCAGCCTTCCCAGGTACAACCAGCCTTCACAGGTACAACCAGCCTTCCAAGTGTGTGTGGTAATATTAAGTGTATAATTAACCATAACTATTTTGGTACTATTCTTTCCAATACAACTAATTACGATAACGCATAGGTTTATAATTAGCCCAAGTAGAAGGATAGTATTTCTACCTGTACAACGTGTATGATAACACGAAGAAATGATAATGACTAAGAAAATTGTTAATAAAAAAAGTATGCTCTGGTCTTCAATCAAACCTGAACAAATGATAACAAAAAGGTGTACAAATAACCGAAATATTAGGGTGGTATTTCCACCTTTACAAAAATACATTTTAACTCAAAGGGGTAAAATTACCCTCAATATGAGGGCAGTATTTATACCTCACAGCAGCAGCCTCCAGGCCTACACTTTCGAAAAAAGTTAAGAGATCGTAAGTTCATGAACCAATCATCGACGGCCTTTCAAGCAAAATCCACCAATCATGGACAAGAAAATAGAGCGTAAGTACTTACGTTCACTTAGCGAGTTTGAAAGTATGACCTCAGGTCTTACCTCCTACAGACACGTGCCGCCCTGCTACTGAGCTCCAGTCCTCCTGGTCTGCTGCTGGACGGCGGCGTGGCGGGCGCTGATGCTGCCGCTGCAGACATGGGCTCTGCGCTCCTCAACCTGCCCAGACCGTTCCAGGTAACGTTTTTGCCAGCCCAGGGCGTTCCAGGTAACGTTTTTACCAGCCTAGGGCGTTCCAGGTAACGTTTTTGCCAGCCCAGGCTGTTCCAGGTAACGTTTTTACCAGCCCAAGGCGTTCCAGTAACGTTTTTGCTAGCCCAGGCTGTTCCAGGTAACGTTTTTACCAGCCCAGGGCATTCCAGGTAACGTTTTTGCCAGCCCAGGCTGTTCCAGGTAATGCTTTTGTGATAAATTATGTATTTATCCGCCCACGGCCACGCTACTGCGCTCCTCAAACTGTAAGATATTTCACTTCTCACAACAATTATATTGTAGCAATATACTCATTATACAGGGCAAAGCTCATCAACTGGAATCACATTATTGTACTATTCCAGTCGATTAGGATAATTTCATCAATCGTAAAATAATAATAAATTACATAAAATTACAAAATTATATTTTTAGTTGACCGCTGGGCTCAGCAGCCCACAGCTCTTGTGGACGTTATTTAATCAAATATCTGACGACCACAGCTCTTGTGGACGTTATTTGATCAAATATCTGACGACCACAGCTCTTGTGGACGTTATTTGATCAAATATCTGACGACCACAGCTCTTGTGGACGTTATTTGATCAAATATATGACGACCACAGCTCTTGTGGACGTTTTATATTGTTGTTGTGGGTCACTTAATTGACACACCGATATTTGTATTGTTGTTGATATTTATATTGTTGTGGGTCATTATTGTGGGTCACTTGACACACTTGCAGGAACGTTATTTTTTCTAATTGTGGGTCACTTGACACACTTGCAGGGACGTTATATATTCTAATTGTGGGTCACTTGACACACTTGCAGGGACGTTATATATTCTAATTGTGGGTCACTTGACACACTTGCAGGGACGTTATATATTCTAATTGTGGGTCACTTGACACACTTGCAGGGACGTTATATATTCTAATTGTGGGTCACTTGACACACTTGCAGGGACGTTATATATTCTAATTGTGGGTCACTTGACACACTTGCAGGGACGTTATATATTCTAATTGTGGGTCACTTGACACACTTGCAGGGACGTTATATATTCTAATTGTGGGTCACTTGACACACTTGCAGGGACGTTATATATTCTAATTGTGGGTCACTTGACACACTTGCAGGGACGTTATATATTCTAATTGTGGGTCACTTGACACACTTGCAGGGACGTTATTTATTCATATTGTGGGTCACTCGACACACTTGCAGGGACGTTATTTATTCATATTGTGGGTCACTCGACACACTTGCAGGGACGTTATTTATTCATATTGTGGGTCACTTGACACACTTGCAGGGACGTTATTTATTCATATTGTGGGTCACTTGACACACTTGCAGGTGGTGCAGCGAGGTCTGCGTGGCTGTAGCAGCGACCAGCTCAGCGACCATCTGATCCACTTCACCCACCGCGTCACTCACGACAGCGCCGTGCTGCTCTTCATAACCGGCGAGGTAGGCGGAATTTATAATCAGAATTTAGCTTTTATAGTAGAAAAATGTCCTTTTTAAATAATAATGTCTTTCACATTTCAATAATTGCACAGAAATTAAAGCTTTTATAATGGAAATAATTTCCTATTTATATAATAATGGCCTCTACATTTCATTAATTGGGTGAAAATATAGCTTTTATAATAGAAATAATGTCCTTTACATCTCATTAATTGGGCGGAAAATATCGTTAGGTGATATACTCCATGACATCGAACCTAAAGGAACATCGAACTGTATAAAGAATTCTATGGAAACACCAAGTTTATATTTAAAATGTTGGCAAGAATTTTAATGAGTTTTAAAATCCAAATATAAATTAAAAAAAGAATACCTCATAATTATTGAAATAAAGAGAAAAAACAATGTCATGAAATGATATGGTTTTATTTTCGCGTCCCCACTGGAATAAGTGAACTCGTATAGAGCATTCATTATTAGTGACTGTCAAGCATTCATCATTAGTAATCTGAGTAATCTGAGCACCTGATACCATTCATCATTAGTAACTGTCAAGCATTTGAAGCTTTGTACATGTAAATATTAACGTTTATTCGCGGATAAACGAGTTTATTCGTGTCAGTTGATAAGGGATGAACCATGCCTTCTGTTAACTTTCCTTTAACTACACCTACGCTTCCTTTTCCTCCTTTTTATTCATTTCCTTTGATTTCTCATGGACCATTCATAACTATTAACTTTTTGGCTTATGAAAGATTGTAAATCGATATAGTAACTTTCTTATAATCGGCTTTTTGATACGACCAAGCATCAGCGTTCAGCTCCATTGTTTCAATTTAAGTTGGTGCATTTAAATTATTTTACGTGTGCCGTATTACAATTTTTTCAACAGGACTTTCACATCTTTCGCTTAGCTCAGTGGTTTTATTTTCACTCTCGCACCTTTAAAACTTTTGTGAAAGCAAAAGCAATTTTTTAGCGCATTTCCTCATTTATGGAAAAAATGCATTATTGTGCTCGCCATGTCCGTCTGTCTGTCCGTCTGTCTGTCCGTCCGTGACTTCGCGTTTTCGTCGACGAGGAAATGCGCTCTCTGTCACTCACTGCAGTGAGTACTGAGTTACATTTTTTTTTGTAACAGGCTTTCCGCAGCAGCGAGGCATCAGCGTTCAGCTCTGTAGTTTCATCCGAGATTCTGCACGGCGTGACGCTCCAGCAGCTACACCAGCGAGTGGCGCAAAAACTGCGACGGCGACGCGAAGTCGAAGAAAAAATTCTGGCGCAGGCCACAATCATGAGTCTGGGCGATGAAAAGTCATTGCAGGTTAAAGAAACAACCACGAAAATTATGCAAAAAGGTGAGACTGTAATTCCGGCAGTTGATGCAATGAAGCAAAAGCAATTAGAAAAAGAGCCACAAGTTGACGCGTGTGTTTCAGAAGCCCCATCACCTGATAATCCGCACATGGAGAAACCTAAATCGGAGAGTGCTGTTACAGAATTACATCAAGCGAGTAACTCAAAGACGTACAAGCCAGTGTACTGCAGCGAAGATGAGTCTATCGAACATGAATCATTTGCGGAAATTCGAGCTAAATTTGACACAGCTCTTAAAAAGCTATCACCCACCGAGCCTGAGGGACCGAACACAAAAAACGTGAAGTCCGTTGGTAAGTCCGACGACACTCGTGTGGACAACCACACATTGAATTCAAATCCAGCACATCAATCAACGGTCGTCCAGCCTCCTCCAGAAGGTCAAAATTCGTCTGAAAAGAATATTGATCATTCAATTGTAGCAGAAAATGCCAATCCCAGGGCCAAAGACGGAGTTGGTTCTACTAATTACGCAAAAATGGAAGAAGAAGCTCGACTGGAAAGACGACGCTTGAAAGCCTATCAAAAATCTACTGTGTTGTTCGTGTCCAACATTTCGGAAGATTGGAGGTTTTAAACTTGCATTCCATATATAGCCGTTGACAATACCAAGTTAGATAGGTTTATTCAAGTAGGTCCACTATCTTATTCAGTTGTTTTAATGTTTCCTTATTCTAAGCCCAATGTATATGAAACTGTTTAAGCTTTGTATACCACTCACATTAGTATATTCTTTTTATAGAACTCAAGGCAACGTGAGTAAGTTTGAAGAGGCTATTGCAAAACCACTAGTTATGATTATTAAATATATAGAGTTTCTTTAAATAAATGTGTGTATCCTTTGTATCCAAAATCATTGCAACGTGGAATAAATCGTTCAACCTCATATTATTTCCCTACTAATAAAGAAATTATTAAGGCATTACAATATCAGGTAACGTTTCAATATGATCTCAGCATGGGTAAGGTTGAGCAAAATGAAGCACTAAGTTACAGGTTCGGTCCCAGCTTCTTGTGAAAGTTCCGGTCAAAATCGGCGAGGCGGTTGGGTGGTTGAGAGAAGCACGATTGAAACAGTGAGTAGCGGGATCAAAATGACAGCAAGCTGTTAAAATTCGCCAATTTCTGGACTCGGCAACAGGTCAGATTTGGCCTATTCAGCGCTGACATCGTTATTAGTATTATATTCTTGTTAATGTATTTCACAAAGAGGCGATCTTGCGGCAGCCATGAAGAGGAGTTTGGTGTTTAGTGTTTAGTAGGAATTGAAGAGCATTGATTGTCGGCTCTCATTTTTAATACTTTCAGGGTGATTATTGTAGGTTGGGGTTAGAGGCTATTAATTATTTGTCCATCTGTAATGAACAAGCTGTTTGTAGCCGCGTATAGAGGTAATACAGCAAACTCATTTAACTCTTAAACAAGCCTTGTAGCAAGCGCTCAGTATAAACATAATCAGCCAAGCTCAGCCTCCAGAGCTATTAAGTCGCAGACCACACCATAAACAGCGCAACCATACTAGTTACACCCCAGCATGTGCCAACCTCCACATATACCCCGTTTCTCCACCTTACTGTAGCGGTGTAGCCAATGAGGTTGGGTTAAATCTGATGAATTTTGCTTAGGTGGAGAGGCGGGGTAAGTGTGGAGGTAGGCGAATGTTGGGGTGTCGCCTTCGTGAAGACTATACTGACTGGAGTAGTAGCTGCGGGCTTACGGCACCCATGGTCCCAAACACTAAGTTCATATGATTACTCAAATGGGTAGCACGATTCCGCACGGGAAGAAATAAGAAAGTGACGAGTGTAATGTTGGGCAATGTTGTCTTTTAACATGCATCCTCACTGGTCAGTGCCCAGCGAGAATGTTGCAGGTGTGAATATTTATTTCGTATGCTGAATACTGCTCTGCGGTAAGTTGATATAAGTGAATTTCATCAAAATTTTCGAAGGGCTATTAAATTGATCGTTTTAGAAGTTTATTGATCATTTAAATTAAATAAGACCTTTAAATTGATCATTTGCCTTCAACAAGGCTGAAAATATTTGTCAACATTTGATCGAAAAATGTGAAATCTTCATGGTCGCACTTAATTTAATCAGGTTAACCCTGCAGACTTCATTGGCAGCAAAATATTCTCTTTTATTCCATTTTCAATCAATAAAATCATGAGTTCCGGGATTCAAATATAATTTTTCTTATGTTACCCATTAGCTTGCAGTTCATAGAACCCGCCTAATCCGAAAACGAGTAGTTTTTGGCTGGCTTCCCCCGATGGGGTGCGCATGCATCCCTTCCGATGTATCCATAGTCACACGTGTGGCTAAAGTGCAGGCAAGTAGAATCTAAACATATCTGTAGAGAGAATTGTGTGCTGGAGCTGCTAAGATCATAAATTACTGGAGACGGAAGTGTTTCCCAAAATATTGATGCAACAGGTAATTGTTAGCTTCTAATTGGACTGTAATAAATAGTCATTTCCGTCTCTCTGCTTAATTAACGTGGACATTGTTTCACCTGAAGCGTAAAAGCTAAACATAGAAAATCGAATTAACCTGGATTACCTTCTAAGAACCTCGCGCTAGAATGCAGCTTAGTTCGCATCAGCTGAAAGAATGAATGTTTCTTGCTCTGTCATTGGCCAATGACATAAAACTCCTGAATTTCACTGTGAAAATTTAACGCTTAATCATTTCACTGTTTCCCACATATGACCGCATTTTCTGAGCGTAGAATGCCCGACTTCCGATCATGAAGGAAATAGCAGGAATTACAAATTAGCCAAGTGTTAAACCTGTAATACCGAGATAAATTTTTCAGTTAATGAATATAATTAATCCATTAAAACTACTGCAGGACCAAAGCCGAACCCGCAACGACTGGCCTCTCGGTCCACGTGATCAAGGTGCCCACGCGTTCAAGCGAAAATTCGGATCGCAAAATGTAGAGATTGCGGTGGCGCATACCGGAGGCCAGCGTTGCCCAACTTCGCAATTGGTTCATATTTTTCCCGTGGTTAAGCACGCTAGAGGATATTGGAGCCTATCACGTTAATTGCTAAAACCCATAGCACTATATGTCCACAGCTTAAGCATACCCGTGTTGAACATGGTCAATTTGGTCATAATGCATCTCGCCAAACCTACTCCGGCCTAACCTCTTGTAGCCCAACCTACGCACTTAGCAAAGTTTCTCCACCCAAAACAAAACTGAGCAGATTTAACCTACCCTTATTGGCCGCAGAAAGTTAGAGAGGAGAAAGGATCTGACCAAGTAAAGCCAATCATAGGCTTCAAGAAAGTTGTAAGTCGACGAAGCATGAAAAGATGAAGTCAGGAGAGGTTAGATCGGTTTATGTGAGGCCGAATGCAGCACTGCATGCTTCCGATCAAGCATGTTTAAGTATTTGCTGAAGATATATGCGCTATTACATTTAAGCAGTGTGCCATTTGTTCCAACGCAGTTTGCGGCTTCTAGCTCTGTGGCTGAGAAAGTTTTTCTTAACACTGAGACTTAGCTTTGGCTTCAGGGCTTATTTGAGAGTTAAATTTGTGGCCCACGGCTGCACCCCGAGATTATTTTCTTACACGCTTAGGTACGCTGATTGTGGAACGTCCAATAATGAAGCTGATTTTATAAATAACTACACATAAAATTGTCTGATTCATAAATTTGTATTGGATCAAAATTGGGACAGTGGTGTAATAATAGGTTTTTTTAAAAGTACTTTTTTTAATCAATCGCTAGCTTGTTGCGCGTGTGTCGTAGTACCCAAACTTGTTACGGTTGAACAACTTGATGGAGATCTTCCAGTATTATATTAAACTGTACTTTGGAAAAGAAGGTTGAATTGTAGCATCTCATTATCCTTATGAATATCGCAGGAAACTCTCCATACCTCAGAAATATTCTTTAGGTATGAAACCTACGGCAACTGTGTGGGGACAGTGGCACAGGCAAATTTCATTGGCCCTAATGGTGCTTGGCGCATTGCTGTAATTTTGCCGAGTGTCAAATTTGGTGCTTCGTCGTTTGCACTTCCTCCTTGACAGAGATCAGGCTGGTAAGTGCTTCATATATCACAGTGCTTCAACGCAATTAGGAAAACATTTATCTCGTGAATGTTAAACATATTAAACTCATTGACTGCATGCTTCTTTTAATTTATCTAAGCTAAGGGCTTCAATTGGGGGAATCTATTCACACACACCCGACTGCTGAATCGTATGTAGAAACTGTAGAATCGTATTTCGGTATTCCGCATTTTAGTTTCCCTACTTTGTGCCGTGGTGGCCACTGGCCAGCGGGCTCTTCAATATCTGTGTGCCGTTTGTGGTGTGGATAGTTATTGTTGAAATTTCCCAAATTCCCAGTTGTATTCAATATATGTTTTTCGCTCCATACCTCAAGTTTTGAATTTAAGACTAGTTATGAATTGAGAACTGCCTTTGAAAGTCACGATGGCAGGTAAGTGGGAATTTTGCTGGGAAAGTATAAAATACATCAAAATGTCAAATTCGATTATGTGATTTACTTCTGATAATTTAATTTTGGTTCTAAAGCCCGCAGTTTGTTAATAACAGACAATAAGTTATAGAGAATAGCATGCCTATTTCTTGGTATTGCTCATTAAACATAGTTCATTCCCATATATTCTTAAGTTTGATTAGCGCGGTTTTGCTTAACACGGTAAAACTCGGGGATTTATTAACCGCGTTAATCAAGGGATTGCTGTATGAGGTAGACTAGCAAAGTATCATGGATAGGCTACCACTGTTTATTCAAAAAAATTGTCCCTAGTTTATAAATTATTTACTTGTGCACAATGTGCATCTGCATACGTTGGACGGTTGGAATGACATTACGCAATCTCTATTCTGGGCCATCTGGGGTTGCTGAGCAATGAGCATGAAGGTTAAGGAAGGAGGACATATTAGGGTAAACGCGGTATATTCCAACATCGTAGGCATGGTGCAATTACATATCAATTTTAAATTACCTTTCTTAATGTGTCGGAATATACCGCGTTTACCCTATTAGATATAAGACATTAAGACTGGGGCTGGGCAGTTAGCCTAGCTACTATCGGGCAGCTGCAACATGCACTCCTCATTTCAAAGTCATTAGGCTGTGTGCACTCATCACTCATCAACTTATGCAGCTCAAGCATGGACTGGAAAATATCTACCTCCAGGCTCTATGGCCACGACTATGACTAGCAGGCTGGAATTCTAAGAATGGAAGTTCACTTGTAAAAAAGCTTTACACCCAAGGTGAATAGCTTTCCTTGGATACAGTTCTCTGCCAGCCTGCCAGGAGACTGACTATAAATGAAAAGGAGAATCAAAAGTGGACAAAATGTTTCAATTGTATAGTACATTAGGTTTGTAATAGCATTATTTGGATATCTCGTGTTTGACAGATATTTTTTATTTGTCTTATATTTAATGTTTTTTTTTTAATTTCCAGGCCTTTTGTTTGTAATGATCAAGTTTCAGTTGAGTATTTAGTTAACCAGTACTGTAGTACATATACCATACTTGGGGGCGGGGCTTATGGGCACAACCAATCACAGCTTGAAAGCATCCCCATCAGCCAATCACAGCTTGAAAGCATTTCCATCAACCAATCACAGCTAGAAAGCAGATAATATTACAATTCCATTATCCAATCAAAGCTGGAAAGCTGAAAGTGGCTAAATTAACAAACCAATCACAAATGGAATTCTTGAAAGGTATAGGATATGTAAATAATGGACTGAAAGTGTAAAGTTCCTGGCCTTTCCAAGCTTTCAGGTCCTGCTTTCCAATATGCTATGTGTACTGGTTAATTTATTATCCCTCTAGAATTCCACACTGACGACTAGTTAAAAGAGAGAGCCTTAAGTTCTTATCTACTAAAAAGTGTGAATACTGAATAGATAGGTACAGTATTTACTTGATTACTCTGCCTTTTTCCTGTAAAGTCAGGTTTTTACTTCTGTATTTTTCTTCTGAATCCAAACTTTATTAACTTCTGAAGTTCTGACTGTATTTGTCAATTTGTGTTTCAGATTTATCAAACTGATGATGGAGCTGGACTCAAAAACTTTTTCAATAGAAATATGTTTAATTTTTGTAGAGTTTTCCTATTGCTCACTCCTATTTGAGCAGGACTGGAATTTTCATACTTGTTTACGCAATCATGGGGCTCTGGCATGACAAATGACAAATTTTTTGTACATGTGGAAACTCTCAGCCTGATCATGCACTTTTGTTAACAATTAAATAGGAGGTTATTCATCTGGTAAGAATGTCATGGTTTCAGAAATGGCGGGGAAAGCTCTAGTCAAGGCCCTAAAGGAATATGTTTACCAAGCTTGTATTTGAGTGATCATTCTTCTACTATTTTTAGCCACGGCACTCCTCAATTACATTGATACATGGTCATTTAGAAGGCATTTATAATGCCACCATGCAGTGAGCTGCTGATATGAAGCTTGCAATGAACAAAGTTGTCAATGGCATGGAAGTTTTTTTTTGGGGGGGGGGGGTTCTAAAAGTGTTGGGTATAGAAAAAAAAAGGTTTCTGTTAATTAAAAATTGATACAATAATATCATCAATAAGAGAAAAAAAATTACAAATCAAAGAAAACATCTACATCATTCACAACTGAAAAGAACTTCAAAGTGCTGTTAGTAATGAATTAGTAGGTACTACACTCTGCATGATTCAAATGTTTAAAAATGAAGTTTTATTTCAAGTGTCCTGAATTACCCCATTCTCAAGGGTAATTTGGGACTCTTATTCTGCTTCTGGCATCTTACAAATGGTACCCATATGAAATTTTTGGGAGATGTCATACAATAGCCATTGCAAAGACCTCTAAAATAAGCCTAAACTCATTTATGAAATGTTTTATAATAAGTTGTCAATGAAAAACTAAAAAAAAAATTGTCTCTTATTACCCCCTTTAATGGTATATGTTAAACAATTGCCCTCAACTTAGCAAGCATTATAAAGAATAATGTACTATAGTTGCTGATTATTTCCATTAATCACAAGCTGTAAAATGCATATTTATTTTTATGTTAAAATGAAAGCGGATTTTGTTTTACATGTGATTCATTTATCCACAGCATTCAGCTTTGGTTCAAACACCTCTGGGTTTGGATCGGGTGGAGGCTCCAGTTCAATGTTTGGCACCGGCAACAAGAGTTTTGCTTTTGGCAGTCCTAGTACCACTACTTCAGCATCAGCATTTGGCACCAACACAAATAGTAACACTTTTTCTGGTTTTGGCAACATATCTGGGACCAATACAGGTAAAAAAAGTTCCTGAAAATTCATTTCTAGCCCAAGTCACTGAAAATTTATTCTCTTAATTATTTGATAATTATTATTATTATTGATTATATTTTTTGATAACACCTGAAGTATTTCAGTTTCATATCTATGAGCACCTAAAATAATTCTTATTCAATCCTAAGAGCTATGTATAAAAGGTTTTTCTTTGCTTGAGTAGTAAGACCTTGATGCATAATAAAACAGTACCTACTTTCTTTCTTCTGGGCTTTAGATTACTATTGATTTTGAATATTTTTAAACTGCTAACATTGCATAAATTTTACTTCAATATTATGACTGTTAATTGGAAACAAATGTATGTATATTTTTTTATTTAATGTGTTGATAATGTATGCAAAGTTTTGTTCTCATTAATCAGCTGTAAATGTTCTGTCTGCATAACCATGCATTCAGTAGGTTAATCCACAAGTTGAATAAACATTCTTAATATTAGAGAAATATACAAACTCTCTGCAGGTTTTGGTAACTCCGCTCCTGCAACAAACAGTGGGTTTAGTTTTGGAAGCAACACTGGGGCTCTAGGAACAAACAGCAACACTGGCACAGGTTTTACTTTTGGCTCCAACAAACCAGCAGGAGGAGGCTTCAGGTGAGCATGGCTTGCATTAGTGGTCCATGATGAGGTTGGCAATGATTATAATTGATTTCAATGAATGATTTCTTGAAAATTTGTGTTGCTGCATTCAATATTGTGAATGTACTTACTAAAAAATAAAACTTATTCAAAATTAATTTGAAAAAATTGATGTTGGGTAATGATAAGAACTCAACAAAGTTAAAATCCATCCATGACATTTATCTATAATTTTGTACTATTATGAAGCATGGCAGCTGTCATTGCTGTGTTGCCAAGTTTTGGGAATTCTCAGACAATGCTACAATCCAACTCTCTTCATCAATTAAGATTTCAAGAACAGATAAAATTATTATCAGAGTAAAAATCAATGTAACTTGATTTAAAAAATTTGCTTGTGTGATTTAAATAAGAATACTTTTTTATACTTTATTACTCATAGGGATAGGTACAGCTCATTTAGATTCATTATTATAGGGAAAAATATGACCTAATAAAAAAACAGTTATTTAAGTATAGGTATACTTGAGAAAATGCATCTTTTGAATGTAAATAATCTTCATTGTCACTGTCTTATTCTCTAGTTTATAACATAAGTAACTAATATAAATTATTTAAAAACACTTTTTGTTAAGTACAGGGTTATTCTAAATGATTAACCCAGTATAACAAATTTGTATTTATTTTAGTATGAATTAAAAATAAATAATTAATATATCAATGGAAAGAAAAAGATTAAAATAACTTTTTTCATATGTATAAATGTTTGAATTCAAAATAAACAATTTATATACCTACTATAAATGAAAAAAGAAAGATTAAAAGTTTATAATATTTATATTTATAATTATAACATGTCCCCTTCTGCCAGCAACTCTGTTTAAGTCCCGCCTTTAACAGCAACTCTGGTTGATTGAACATTTATAAATAGGTAGAAAATTTTTTAATCTTTCTCTTTTCTTTCATGTATAAATTATTCATTTTAAATACACTTTATAAATAATAATTTATTGAATTGGGTCCATCAGTTAGAATAACCCAGTAGGTATTCCTGTTATATTTCAAGAATTTTTTTAAAATTTAGAATTTATTCATAGTGTTCCCTTAATTATACTAATATATAGATATATACTTGATTACATTCATTTTGAGTGAGATCAAATTTATGTTTCAGCTGATTTCTTGTTGTTGTTTTTAGTTTGTTTCTATGAAATACCAGGATCCATGATACTTTCCATGAACTTTTCCTGAGTTCATTTCTACTGAAATGATCATATTTTTTATCATCTTCCACGGTACTATATTTTTATTCATGTGTTGCCAATATCATAAAAACTTAAAGTTATTGAACTTCAACATGGTGCACTGGAACTGCAGGCTGAGTCATCTGCTCCAATATATCTTTCTTTAAATGAAAGTTGAGATTTAAATACATTACTTGTTATGAAATGTAGCTGGATTATTCACATAATAAGCAGCGCTCAATTACCTTGCTTGATGCTTAGTAAAACTTATCCCGCCAGTGCATTAGAATGAAAGATATGATGATGGTGTGGAAACTGCAGCAGCAAATCTCATGGTGCACTGTTTATTACCATACTTCAATTGTGCAGCACTCACAAATTTTCTGTCATGCTTATTGTGCTCAAGTTTGAATCCTAAATATTTATACATATTAATCAGATTCCTTCATCCTTATCTTTAGGATTAACTTACCCTGCTAACTAAATATATAAATTAATAAAATATTTGTAAAAATTTTTTATGGTAAAATATCTTGAGAATACTAATTTTATGAACTTTGACGCCCAGTTTTGGCAGCAACACCAACACAGGCCTTGGGACCGGCACAAGTTCTGGGTTTGGTCTCGGCACCAACACAGCCTTTGGCACCAACACCACCACCAGCAGCGCCTTTGGCACTGGGACCTTTGGTGCTGGAACTAACACATCGTCGGGCTTTGGTTCTGGTGGGCTCTTTGGCGGTGGCCTAAAGACTACTCAGCCCATGCTGGGCTTTGGTCTCAACTCATCTAATAACAACACTGCGTTCAAAGGCTTTGGTATGTTGGACTATGCTTATCACATGGATTACTTTTTCACTATGTTTGTACTTGTAATATTTTAATAGTAGCTTGTATTAGCAATGTTTCAATAGCCATCTAGTTAGTATTGCTAATGTTTTAAAAGTCATCCAGTGGCTATGGAAAGTTATTGTTTTATTTGAAACGGAATTTCCTTTTTTGTGTACAAGAATATGGGTAACAATACAAGAATATGGGTAACAAGAATATGGGTAACAAGAATATGGGTAACAAAATATATGGGTAACAAAACAAGAATATGCGTAATAAGAATATGGGTAACAAAATATATGGGTAACAAGAATATGGGTTACAAAATACAAGAATATGGGTAACAATACACATATACAAGAATATGGGTTTTGTGTACAAGAATATGGCACATGATCTTCCCATGTGTTACCCAGGAACCGGAGGATGCCTGACACAACAACCTCAGCAGCAACAACAGCAACAACAACAACAACAGGGTGCTAGTGTGTCACTATACATGGCTGTGTGTGCTCCTGCTTACTTCAGTGATGAGCGTGATGATGTCCTGAAGAAGTGGAACCAACTGCAGGCCGTGTGGGGCTGTGGCAAAGGTACCTATTATTATTATTTTGCCATTGTTTCTAGTATTTTAGTAGGTAGTATTTTTCAGTTATGATTGTACAGTCTTTAATTGATTTGCATGCGGTGCTGTGGCAAAGGTAACTATAGTATTAATATTTTGTTATTATAGCTATTATTTTAGCATTATTTTTTTGTTATTATCATGCAGTCTTTACTTGATTTATGCATGAGGCTGTGGCAAAGGCAACTTCTATTATTGTTTTTGTGTAATACCGGTATATCCTTATATTGCCGACCAACTGAGTGCCGTGTAGGGCTGTGGCGAAGGCAAACCTGGGTTCTGCACTTCTAGATAGCAAGGAAATGCTTTATATTGAAAAAGATTGTTTTTATTTTATAAGAATATGTACTTATATTATCAGTCTGCTTATATCACACATTCACAATGAATTTTAAAGCAAAGAAAACGGCAAGCAAATTTACCCTAACAATATTGAAGACGTTTATAGTTTTATAATATGATTTTAATGCTAAATAAGATGCTAATTATAAGATGTTGTTCAGGGTTCTACGCCCCCGGGCTGCCCCCCGTGGAGTTCACCCCCGACAACGAGTTCTGCCACTTCAAGGCGGTCGGCTACATCAAGATGCCCTCCTTCTCTCCTGAGGAGGGGCTGGTTGAGCTCGTCATCTCTAAGAAGGAGAGTCTTGTGAGGTGAGAGTGTTGTGAGGTGAGAGTGTTGTGAGGCGAGAGTGTTGTGAGGTGAGAGTGTTGTGAGGTGAGAGTGTTGTGAGGTGAGAGTGTTGTGAGGTGAATATTGTAGTGCGAGTGTTGAGAGGTGACTTTAGTAGAGCAAGTGTTGTGAGGTGAGATTGTTGTGAGGTAACTACCGTATAGTAGTATGGGTGTTGTGAGGTGAGGTGTGATAAGGTGACTATAGTAGTGTGAGTGTTGTGAGGTGACTATAGTAGTTTGAGTGTTGTGAGGTGACTATAGTAGTTTGAGTGTTGTGAGGAGACTATAGTAGTGTGAGTGTTGTGAGGTGACTATAGTAGTGCAAGTGTTGTGAGGTGACTATAGTAGTGCAAGTGTTGTGAGGAGACTATAGTAGTGTGAGTGTTGTGAGGTGACTATAGTAGTGCAAGTGTTGTGAGGTGACTATAGTAGTGAGTGTGTTTGATTGTTGTGAGGTGAGCCAAAACTATTAGTATTGCTAGCCGACTTAATAAGGCACATAATATCTAACTTATTTTCATCACTCATCGCTTTGAAAATCTCCCCTTGTAAATAATAATCATCACTCATCACGTGAAATAACTCGCCTAATAAATAATAATCATCACTCATCACTTTGAAAAACTCCCCTTATAAATAATAATGATCACTCATCAACCCCTAATAAATAATTTGTTTACATCAGGGAGCAGCAAGCAGGGCTGGTGGGCGAGCTGTGCAAGCTGTACGGGCTGTCTCTTATACACATCTAGATGTGTATAAGAGACAGGGCTGTAGCAGTGTTCCTACCACATCCAGCTGTAGCAGTGTTCCTATCACATCGGGCTTTATAGATGCTCAGGACCATTGGCCCAAATTCAGGGTGAGGCATAAGAATTTNGTTGTGCTACTACGTACAGCACCGCAATGCTAATGGTGTGTGTTGTGCTACTACGTACAGCACCGCAATGCTAATGGTGTGTGTTGTGCTTCTACGTACAGCACCGCAATGCTAATGGTGTGTGTTGTGCTTCTACGTACAGCACCGCAATGCTAATGGTGTGTGTGTACTGTGCTTATATGCACAGCACCACAATGCTAATGGTGTGTACTGTGATTCTATGTACAGCACCATAATGCTAATGTGTGTGTGTGTTGTGCTCCTACGTACAGCACCGCAATGCTAACGGTGCGTGCTATGCTTCTCTATACATATGGTGGAGGTAATCACCCTGCTGGTGAGAGGTAATGACCCTGCTGGTGAAAGGTACTCACCCTGCTGGTGAGAGGTACTCACCCTGATGGTGAGAGGTACTCACCCTGTTGGTGAGGTACTCAACCTGCTGGTGGAGGTACTCACCCTGCTGGTGAGGTACTCACCCTGCTGGTGAGGTACTCACCCTGCTGGTGAGGTACTCACCCTGCTGGTGAGGTACTCACCCTGCTGGTGAGGTACTCACCCTGCTGGTGAGGTACTCACCCTGCTGGTGAGGTACTCACCCTGCTGGTGAGGTACTCACCCTGCTGGTGAGGTACTCACCCTGCTGGTGAGGTACTCACCCTGCTGGTGAGGTACTCACCCTGCTGGTGAGGTACTCACCCTGCTGGTGAGGTACTCACCCTGCTGGTGAGGTACTCACCCTGCTGGTGAGAGGTACTCCCTCTGCTGGTGAGGTACTCACCCCTCATCATTACTCAATGTCTGACTGAGGTATAATTTGTTCCTGTTGTAGTTGTAATAATTAATGAATGAATTGAACAAATAAATACTTGTGAATGAATGAATTGGATATTTAAATGAATACTCTACTTGTTTCATACAAATTTTTGTTCTACCTTCAATTTTTTCTGTTTTTAGTGCATTTTCTCATTTGTGGAAAAAATGCACTATTGTGCTCGCCATGTCTGTCCGTCTGTCTGTCCGTCCGTCCGTGACTTCACGTTTTCGTCGACGAGAAAGTGCGCTCTCTGTCACTCACTACAGTGAGTACTGAGTTATATTTTTTTTATTGCTGTGAAGCATTAACTATTGTTGCATTTCACCCCCCCATTCACACAATAGGGAAAAACTCCTGGGCTTTCATAATTACATGAATATTCTTATGTCAAGTTTATTCATTTTTTTTGTCGACTGTGCTATGAATTTTTTAATTACTGATTGTTTTGCAGGGGAGACAAAGAAAGCAAACACATGGGAAGTCTACCAGCATCTGAAAAGTGAACAACATAGACAGACGCTCAATGTAAGTAACGGGCACAATTTTGGTGAAATTGGCACAAAAGAAGTAAGACTTTTGATCAATTATAGTTACTTAACATTGGTCAAAATTGTTTTGAGACTTTTGACAAATTCTGTTGATCTGTCTCAAAGCAGGAACAATTATTGGTTCTATTAAGATTTTTATTTAATATGTCAGGTATAAAGTAAGCAAGCAATACACAATAAAAGGTGTTATTAGTATCCCATGTGCAGAGTTAAGCCAAACTCTTGCTGTTAATTATTATTATATGTTATTATTATAAATACTCTAGAGTGACGTAAATAGTCAGTGACACTTGAGTCGCCATCCAGCAGATACTGCAATTAACTCGCTGCTAAAAACTGTATAATTCTGATCAGAACTACGAATTGTTAGGTTCTTTTGCCACAAAATGACTATGAAGCTGTTTAAATCTGTTGTTTACAGTTCAACTTTGTTTTTGAAAAAAAAATATTTTTTATTGGAGCCCGTCGACATACGTGCTGTGGCGAATCTAAAGCCATTTACTTGAAAATATACCTAATACTAATTCGATAAAAGTATTGTATTGTGATTTCAACTACTCACTACAGTACTATACTTGATGAAGGAAATCTACACGTGCTTTGGTTCCTGATGATGGTTAATATGATATTGTTGACGCTCAATGAATTCTTTCAACTGAGAATCTTATTAATTTGTCTTGAAGATCTGATACAAGCTTATCTGGAATGTTAGTTCTTGTAAATTAGAATGGTCATGAATTTGTACTATTATATTTATGAACTGCTGTTAATGCTGCGAGGTCAGCTCCCTGGTATGTTACACTCGATGCCTCTCTTATAAATAATGATGCCTTTTATAATTAATGTCTCTCTTACAAAAATGTTTGGTCTTGCACAACAAGCAATGTTTCAGATCGAATAACTTGCAATAGAATAATGATAATAATAACTAATCATTTTTTAATGATATCTTATTGTTAACCAGCACGTTTGCTCATTATTTGTTGGGCTAAATATATCAATGATACGTAATATAATTTACTAATAATGTGATAATTATAATAGTACTATATGTAATTGGCCGTTATTTGTGTATTCAGAATAGTATTTTTATTGGGGCATAGTTTACACGTGGAGAACATTTAGTAGTAATTATAATTATATAAGAATAAAATATTAACATAATAATGATAATAAAATAATAATTATAATGTTAATAAATATATATATTTTAATATTTTTGTTTTATATTTATTGGTTTATATTTTTTATCTAATAATATACATAATAATAATATATTAATAAAATAATAATAATAATGTTAATAAATATATTTTAAAATTTTTATTTTATATTTATTTCTTAATATTTTTTTATCTAATAATAATATATTAATAAAAAACCNTAAAGTAATGTGCAAGTGAGTCAAGTGATGTGCAAGTGAGTCAAGTGATGTGCAAGTGAGTCGAGTTATGTGCTGGTAGGTAAAGTAATGTGCAAGCTAGTCAAGTAAGGTTCCCTATGTAAATATATTTACCTACTACACAAGTCATGGTAGTATGGCCCAGCTCACTTTAATGCTTCCTGAGAATGGTTTCGTAGGAATAAAAGTCAAAAAGACTTACATTATCAAGGCCATTCTATTGAAGATGAAAATGAACGGTTTTATCATGGTTTTGGGCTGTGTTATAAAAATTCCCTGAAGTTCATATAGCTGCCTAAAAAAGTGGCTACTGTATGCATAGTCGCTTAAGTGCACCTAGCGGCGTCTGAACACGTTTATGCCTAAGTACACGTAGCGGCATCTGTACACGTGGATGCTTAAGTACACGTAGCGGCGTCTGAACACGTTGATGCTTAAGTACACGTAGCGGCGCTGAACACGTTTATGCCTAAGTACACGTAGCGGCGTCTAAACACATGGATGCTTAAGTACACGTAGCGGCGTCTGTACACGTGGATGCCTAAGTACACGTATCGGCGTCTGTACACGTGGATGCCTAAGTACACGTAGCGGCGTCTGTACACGTGGATGTCTAAGTACACGTAGCGGCGTCTAAACACATGGATGCTTAAGTACACGTAGCGGCGTCTGAACACATGGATGCTTAAGTACACGTAGCTACGTAGCGGCTGATATCTCGTCTGTGATTAGTGGGTTTAGCTTGAAAATCCATTAGTGATCGGCTAAGTGAGTTACAAACTCATAACTTTTTATAGACTCTCCCTAGACCAAGAGACACAAAATTGAATTAAAGATTCATTTTTAACTTCACATATGTTGCCAAAATACGTGTAATTATTTTTGGACCTCAGACCATTACACACAATATTGATCTAAATATATGTTTTTAACTTCATGACAAAAATCCCGAGTCACCAATTTTATCACAAAAAAATTTAATATCTTCATAGTGCATCAAATGTTATTTCCTCACCCCCCAGGGCCTCAAATGTTATTTTAGTGTTAGTGTGTCAAATGATATTTCCTCACCCCTCAGGGCCCAGGAGACAGAGAGCCTCCTGCTGCAGGGGCAGCTGGACAAGATAGCAGAGGACGTGTGCAGCGTACAATCCCGCCTCGTATTTTAGTGTTATTTATTATAGTTATTATATTAGTGTTAGTGCCTCAAATGATATTTCCTCATCCCTCAGGGCCCAGGAGACAGAGAGCCTCCTGCTGCAGGGGCAGCTGGACAAGATAGCAGAGGACGTGTGCAGCGTACAGTCCCGCCTCGCTGCCCTCAACGATCACCTCACCGAGTGCCACCGACGCCAGCGTCTCATGGCACACCGGGTCCTGGCCCTCAGCGTCACGCAGGAGTGCCACCGCAAGAGGGGCGTGCCCATCACCGGGGCTGAAGAGCAACTTAGGTTACGGCTTGAGAACCTGCACGCTCAGTTACATGCACCTACCATGTATATGGTGAGAACCTGCACGCTCAGTTGCACGCACCTACCATGTATATGGTGAGAACCTGCACCTTCCATGTATTTGGTTTCATTCATGTTTAGTTTGTGTGTCATTATTTCATGTATGTTGAGTGGTTGCCATTTACGTTGAGTTTTCACCACGTATCATGAGTGGGTGTCATGTATGACGAGTGGGTGTCATGTATTTTGAGTGAGTGTCATGTATTATGAGTGAGTGTCATGTATGACGAGTGGGTGTCATGTATTATGAGTGGGTGTCATGAATGATGATTTGTTTGCCATGAATGATGAATTGTTGCTATAAATGATGAATTTTTGCCATGAATGATCAATTGTTGTCATGAATGCATAATTGTTGTCATGAATGATGGGTGGTTGCTATAAATGATATATTGTTCACCTCCTCAGCGATGACTCATAACCGTTCCATATCATGTGCCAGGGTAAGCTGAACGAGCTGCTGTCACAAGTAACAGCTCAAGGCAACAACGGCGGCAACAAGGCAACAGAGGAGAGCTCCAGCCTGTCACCGGATACGGAGCGAGACGTCAAGGAGTTTCTGTCGTGGCAACAGGATGGCATTACGGAGGTTGTTGCCATCCTCAAGAATGACATCAAAGCTTTTGATGCCATGATCAAAAGCAGAACTAAATGATGGGCCATCGAAATTAAGACGCGTCGAAATGTTGCAGTATCAAAACGATAAATGCTGCATCAAAATGAAAAGAGGTTCATCGACAATTGTTAATTAAACTGAAGGTACTAACGATTTATCCGCATGATTGTGTGCTGCAGTGCTTTAAATTGAGCACACAAGACCAATGCAACGTCTAGGGCTTTTTAATAAGCTGTTCTTGATCAAAAAATGATGCTGCATCACAATGGAAGGAGTTCATCGACAATTGCCAATTTAAACTGAAGATAGTAGGGTATTTACTTGCTTGATTGTGTGTTGCAGTGCTGTAAGATGAGGACACAAGTCCAATGCAGCGCCTGGGTCTTTTTAATAAGATGTTCTTGATCAAAAAGAGTTTCTGTCGTGGCAACAGGATGGCATTACGGAGGTTGTTGCCATCCTCAAGAATGACATCAAAGCTTTTGATGCCATGATCAAAAGCAGAACTAAATGATGGGACATCGAAATTAAGACGCGTCGAGATGTTGCAGTATCAAAACGATAGATGCTGCATCAAAATGGAAGGAGTTCATAGACAATTGTTAATTAAACTGAACATACTAGGGATTTACTTGCTTGATTGTGTGTTGCATTGCTGTAAGATGAGCACACAAGTCCAATGCAGCGTCTGGGGCTATTTAATAAGCTGTTGTGGTTATTCTTGATCAAAATGAGACCTCCCGTGAGATCCGATATAGGCAGGAAAATTTAGTTGTAAGGAAGGTGATATTATACGGTACGCGTTCTGTTGTAATGTAGTGATACAACAGCTCACAAATATCGCATTTTTATTGATGGATTCATGTTTTATTCAGCCTAATTCATTGTCTTGAGAGGATTTTAAAACTTGCATCAGGATTAGTTATGGTTTAATTTCATTTGTTTTATCTCGCATTCATTCAGTGTTTTCTTAGTTAGGAGCTTTCATTATCGGTTCATTTTGGTGAGGTTTGATCAGATAATTTTTGAAATAACAGTAGGTACATAAAAATATTCAATTTCTCAAAACCACCCATGTCGTTTTATTAAACAGTTTCTGCCGACTGTTTTCCCGTCTTCACTTCGTTTGGTATTTATGACTGAAAAATTATAAATCTAATCAATTCTGGTATTCATGCTATTACATTAACTTTTTTATTGGCTTCAACCTTTAGAAATTTTTCAGGTACTCGAGATCTCTTTAAATTCTTTCGAAGAGATCCTTTCCAAAGTCAGTGATTTTTGGTCAAAGTTGGCAAAGGTAGCGTTTATGTATATACATGTAACTATATAATAGAATTAGGTGGCAGAATTTTCTTGTTAAAACACTTATGATTAATGACCTGAGAATGCATTTGGTGAAAGAAAGAAACAAGGTGTTCCACCGAGGGTTCCAGGAATCGTTGGTTGAAAGTTGTGCATCTCTGCATGATGACGATGCCGGTGGGTTCCTCCAGCACTGCATGATGACGATGCTTGTGGGTTCCTCCAGCACTGCGTGATGACGATGCTTGTGGGTTCCTCCAGCACTGCATGATGACGATGCTGGTGGGTTCCTCCAGCACTGCATGATGACGATGCTGGTGGGTTCCTCCAGCACTGCATGATG